AGTGATCACATGGCCACAAAAGCTGGTCTTGCTTCTAGGCCACTGGAAATGATCCCATACTTAATATGCTTTTATTAAAATGTCCTCTATATTTAAAAAGCTGCACATATTTTAAAAACTTCTGGAATTTGATCTTTAACCTGCTGATTATAAGTAGAAGTTTATGGTAGATTGGGTAGATCATTTGTCACCTAAGAATATTTTAGGTTGCTAAATTTCATGGACCTTAATCTAAACTGAAAACAAAACACCCTTTCTCTGAGCAGACCGTGACAGCAGCCAACTAAACCAGGGACGCTGCCCGCACAGCATCCTTCCCTTGCAACTCGCTGCTGGAGAAGCATAGATAAAGCCTTGAGATTTATTTTATCATCTATAAAATGTGCAATTCAACATGAAGTTCTTTAAAAGTCCCCTTTACATATGGGAATCTATGATTCTATGAGACCAACATTACATTATCTTCATTTTTACACAGATCTGCCAGTTTAAAAATGGACTTAATCTAACAGCCCAGGACCTGAAAATGATGCTCTATTAAGGTCGATTCATCAGAGGAATGTAGGGTCCAGTAAAGCTCTGGAAGATATTAATTCTAAAATCTTGGCTCATAGTTTCATGATGGTATGTCCGTAGCTCCAAGCTTGGTGTAATTAAATGTGAGGTAGTCTCATTTTAGTGTAGGAGGAAATCAGCTTTTTGGTCAAAAGGAAAGACTTTTTAATTTAGTTTTTATAACTAAGTTTAGTGGGGTGACATTGGTTAAAAGATTATGTAAGGTTCACGTGTACAGTTCTGTACTACACCATCTGTATATTACGTCGTGCACTCAATACCCAAAGTCTAGTCTGCTCCTTTCACCATATATTGGACCCCTTTACCCTCTTCTACCTCCTCCCGCTCTGTTTCCCTTCTGGTAACCACTTCTGTTGTCTGTGTCACTGAGGTTTTTTTTTGTTTGTTTATTTGTCTGTTGCTTTCTGTTTGATATCCCACCTATGAGTGAAATCATATGGTTCTTAAATGTTTTTTTGATTTATTTAACTTAGCATGATATTCTCCAGGTCCATCCACGTTGTCACAAGTGGCAGTGTTTCATCTTTTTGTATGGCCGAGTAGTATTCCATTGTCTGTTCTGTTTTAATTGGTTATTTTCTTTTGGGGTAGCTTGAAGAGCGATAGTGGTTAAAGGAATAAAATAACAACTAGCGAAACTATGAATGAATAATTACCCAGCAGGGGGCGCTAAGAGGACTCTAGCTTTGGTTTGCAGAGATCAGATGAGAGCAGTGTGCAATGGGTACTTCTGACCTAGGAGAGAGCAATCCTCACTGAGGGAAAAGGGGGAAGTGAGCAAATATCAGGTTACGCACGTTGGGTTTTATTGGCTCCTCGTGTGGGCAGTGATGTGCTTAAAAGTGAAATATTTCCTTTTACTTTGTTTCTATTTTAAGTGATTGCTTTGACAGGTCTTTGAAGGAAAAAAAATCATTTTCTCTTCTGCAGATTCAGTAACTGCCTTTAAATGTCTGATTATGTCACGTTTTCAGTGGAGACAACATTGTGATTTGCTTCCATGGCGACCTGCCAGTCAAGGACAGCTGCGGCTAGTAACAGGATTATTAGGGTCCTTGCGAGGTACCACTAAGTAATGATTGGTTATCCGTTCCTGGTGAGGAAACTACGAATGCTATTACTTAGCACATCTTTTGCACTTGGCACTTGCAGAGAGCTTAAAAGTTCATTTGTGCCCATGAAGAAATGACTGTTTGTGCTATTCTTAGCAGGAAACAAGGAAGTAGCCCCAAGAACACCTGTGTCCACTCTGTGACAGGGTCAGGGGTCTCATAGACCTTTGCTTTCCATTCCAATTAAATTGTAGAATGATTATGCAGGAGACACTTTTCAATGTATTATTGTAATCTCCAGAGATTAAAGCTAGCAAACAACAAATTATAAAATTGCCCCTCAAAAAAAAAAACAAAAGGACAACCTCTTAATATAGTACTTTTTGCTTAGAAGACATATATACAACAAGCAGACTGGAAGATGTTAAGTGTGCTCTGGCAATTGTAGGGGAAAAAACGCCATCTGATATCAATTAGTTTCCTGTATTTAGAGTGAGGGACGTTACAAGATCCTTTTGGCCAGAGCCTATCTATGTGTGGCAGCTCTGGGAAAAAGAGAGTATTTCTGTAGTGACAGATAGATAGATAGATAGATAGATAGATAGATAGCCAGCCATTTGTACTTCTCTCCTAAAAAGATTTACTACAGATAACCTTCACCTTCAAACTGGACAGAAGGTTGTGTTGATCAGGGTGATATTGGTGAGAACAGCGACAATAGCTGACATTTATCCAGGCTCGTTTTATACCAGGTACCTAAGTTTTTGAATGTATCATTGTACTTAGTCCTTTGAGGAATCCTGTTGTTCCTGTGCATATGGAACGATTTTAATGGAAAGAGATGGAGTATTTGTTCAAGTTTGTGTAGCTGGTAGAGGCAGGGACTGGGGGCAGGAAAAAGACAAGTGTCACTTCCGAGCCTTCCTCTTTAACTTTGTGCATCTGAAAACCCAAGGGGACCTTCCAGTCGCCCATCCAGCCTCCCTCGGCCCTTGATCCCAGCTTCCCTCCCACCCCGGACCAGCTCACATGTGATGACCAAACCCCTTCTACAGTGACTGACCTGTGTAGGGTAATGGACTTCTTTGAAAAGTGTTTTTTCTTGCTTCCCAGTATTGTTCAATCATGAATTATACCCATTACTTCCCACTATTCTTTCAACCAGACCACTGCATGGTTGATGAGGTGTTTTAAACTAATTCAGATTGCCGTGTGGTCTGTGTGAAAGAGTTATGATTGTAATTTGTCTGGATGTGGCCAGTGAGGTGGCGCACAAACAAGTCGCTCTGCGGCGGCGGAGTGAAGCGCCGCGGATGAGAGCGAGCTGCGATGACAGGCCCTCCGCCCTCCGTGGCCTCGCGGGCACAGCCACCCCTGAGCACGGGGCTGGGTCCCTGACTCACAGCCCTGTCTGATTACGCTTCCCTACAGGTTAGAAAGGCTCTGGCTACCCTACCACGGTGTATTTCTTGATTTTCAAATGATATAACAATCACAACCAGAATCGAATGCTTGCTGTATTCCAGGCTTTGTTCTAACAACTCTGTCAGTGTTGACTTATAATACTTCACAGCAGCTCCATGAAGTAGGCATTATCATTATTAACGCTATTTAAAGGTAAGGAGAGTGAGACTTCAAATGTTAAATGCTTTGCCCTGGGCCGCTTCACTGGCAGATGACTGAACCACGCGTGAAGCCAAGAGGTCTGACCTCTGAGTCCCTGATGTTATGGACTAAATATCACAGCTACCTCTACATGTATTACTCTGCTAATATATTATATTCTCTATGGGATGTATGGAAACTAGAAATCATAAAAGAATGAGATATACCTTGGTTATAGTTGATTGAACAAGCGAGTAAAATATTCCCCTGGCCTGGGCAATGTAGGGATTTCAAGCACCCTGACAAGCCAATAGAAGAAATAACATAGGACAAGGAAGTTTTTCTTCCGTGCATTCAAAGGGAAACTTACCTTGAAATCGATTGCTTGTCTCCTACCTGATGTGCAGCAGAAAGTTCAACGAGTAACCAAGTTCCCTGTATCACTGACAGCAAAAATTTGCAAGTCCCAAATAACCCTTTTTTGCTCAAACCATTGGCCTTCCAGAGCAGCTTCGACTTCACTTGGTCACTGGCTTTGGAGTCCTTAGGTGTCCCTCGGGGACGCCCTAGAGCACAGGCAACGTGATCGACCTGCTGTTTGAAACAGTTATGCCTACTATTTGGCCACACGAGGCCACTGATTTGGTCAGCGCCTGGTCACAAACTGTCTGTCGGGGAGGTTTGCAGGGGCTGCAGCTGTTGAAAGGGCCATGGCAGCGGTGGGGCTTGTTTAGAAGTTACTTTTGCACCGCACTTCTCGTAAGACTGAGCAACGGCCCATTTTCTGCCTCAAAACCTAGAGGAGCGGATGGTGACCAACTACCCGCTTTGACAACTAAGTATGGTGGGAATTCTGAATACCGATGAACTACACCCTAGGAAAGAATTTTTATTTTCAATGTGTATCAGTACAACATATTTAAGATGTGCCATAATTGTAGCTGCTTTTAAACCCAATTACACATGCCCACTGTTTTACTTATGCAGAAAATACACAACCTGGTAATTTACAACCTCTTACAGTTCAAAGTGTCATTCTGCAGAAATGGATCTCTTTCAAGCTCAGGAGTGCATGGGAGATAGATATTTAAGTAAGAGGAGGAGGAGACAATGGAATTTATGAGCTGAAGGAGGAAGTGGGGTTCTGTTAAACTAATCTTGTGGCTGGCGAGGATGACATGTCAGATATTCCATTCATTCTAAATACCAAACCATTTCCATAAATCATTTTTACAACGAGAAATACGTCATATAGTACAATACCAGTAGAGGGTGTGCTTAAATATGCCAGACACATTCTTTTGCTTCACCGCATACTGTTTCTTATTTCATTTGCCAAAGATGTACTTATCAGATTAATTTTATGGGCTGATTCATATTTCAGTTTTATTCTCGGAGCCTTGTTTATTGGTGCTATTGTGCATATTTGATTCTTCACTGTACATACAGATTCAACCCATGCGAATATCATCGGAGTGCCTCTCCCTTCCTCCTTGCCCCAAAAGCAAAAAGAATCTCCTTTTGTAATAACATTTGTCAAGAAGAAATTCATTTGTCAGTGCAAAAAAATACCAAAGAAAAACAAACAAACAAAAACCCAAAATGCAGGATGTATTTGGGGCTATGTAGCATAAAATTTCCTTCTGAAACAGGTTTACTGTATAAGATCATGTGTTCTGCTTCACAATGTTTAAGATTGAGTTTCTTTACTGTGTGAACACTATGCTATTTTCTTTTCTCCCCTACTTCCCCCACCCTGTTTAACAGCAGACAAACCCAGGGAGCCCTGAGTGAATCCGATGATCCTGAAACAGGCTGTCTCTCTGATAACAAGCCAACTTCTCGACACTTCTATCCTGTCGCCTTGCTGCTTGTCAGCTCACACCTGCTAGTTGTGTGGCTTATTTTAAGTCTTGCGTTACTCTTAGCCAAATACCAATAAGTTTTATGTTGTATTCCTTTCTTTTCTACAAGTGACAATGGACTTTACATTATGGGGACAATGCTGTAACATTTCTACATTTTAAGATTCAGAGAATTTAAAACTAACAGTTGTTGGCAGTGTGTCTTCTTTGTTTTTTCCTAAAATCTAAAAAAAGAAGTACTATGCATTAAGTGAATTATTTTGCTCTTTTGTCCATGGAGAAGTGTTTCCCACTGTTCACTAGCTCAAGAAGAATTTTTAAATTACTATCTTTGGAATAAGACAAAGAACAGAATCCTGAAAGCTTGAAGGTCTGCACCTCCTGTTCCTCTTCCCATTGAATTTATTAAAGAAATTAAGACTGAATTTGCACAACACACTGAAACTCTGAGACACATCCTAGAGATTGGGGGAGGTTCCAGACTTTATTGCCACTGTGCTAAAATCACTGTTGCCATCAGCTGCTAGAACGTTCTGTTTGATTTCTTCACCTGTTAGTCTTGTTGTTTCTTTGCTGCAGTTAACCCCTTTCTGTCAAGTAACTTTATGGAGAGAATGGCTATTTCTGTTTTGTAATTAAATTAACCTGTTTGTAACTATTGTTTGGGTTGATTTGGCTTTCCGAGTACTTTTCTATTCTTTTTAACAAGGTCTCATTTGTGTCCTGACACCCCATTTTCCCACCTGTGACTTTTGTACTGTCTGTGCACAAGCACTTCCTTTGTAAAGCGGGGACTCGGACCAGGCTGTTCCGGAAGCCATTTTTCTCGTCGTTGCACAGCTAAAATAATGAACTAAAATAGAGATTGAACTTTCCTTTAAAAATCTATAGGGCCAGACTTAATAAATTAAATGCCTTATTCCTAGAACCTGTATCCTTAGGGCTACATATAGATTTTAATGTGTTTTAAAGAAATTAATTTGTGGAAGAGTTATAAAAAGGCAGATATATTTATGAGATTAAAGTGAAGCTGTATTGTGGAGCAAATTATATTTAAAGAGTTTATTAAACCTTAAATATCTGTTCAGAGCAAAGAGACCTTAATCATCTCTTTCCGAGGGCAATAATGGTATTGGGCCTGGCCTAGGATTTAATTTTGTAAGATGTATCATCATTTGTGGAAAAAAAAATGTAGAGTTGAATCTTTGTTATTTTTACTTGGACTGTTGCTGCAACTCTGCATTGAACAAATAAATAAAGGATATTTATTTATTCTGTTTCATGAAGTTGTACTTTTTCCCCTTTTACCAGAGAAGGATGCCGCATAGAAAATGTACTGAAGAATATCAAATGCAGAAAGTACGCTTTCAACATGCTACAGCTGATGGCCTTCCCCAAGCACTACCGACCTCCAGAGGGCACTTACGGAAAGGCCGACACCTAGGTCTGCCGGCCTGTAAATAAACAGGGACACGAGCTCGCGTCCGTTGGATAACCTCTACATTTTCTTTCTTTCTTTCTTTTTTTTTTTAATTGTCTTGGATGTGTAGAGGGAGATGACCAGGGATGTTTGCCCAAGTCTAAGATTTACTTGAATCAGTTACCAGCTTATGTCTCTGCAAGAAATCCATTTTTAAAAAAATCTGCCATGATACGGTCCTTTCTAGTTCTAAGCTTCTGTGTGTTGACTCTCGCTGGTGGAGATCAGCGTGGAACGTGTAGCTTTCGTCCCTGGCATATTTTAATGGAGGACATTCTGAGAGCACAGGTCCACAGAGGACTGGAGGCGACGCAGACAGCGGTGCTCTCCCTCCAAAATGAAGCTGGGAGACGGGGAAAGGGAGGGGACTTTGTGATGTTATTGCACAGCTTTTCTCACACTTACTCTTAGAGCCCATCTCTGAGGTTTAACTGTATCTTTCTAGCGAGCTGAAATTAGGCAGCATTAACTCATGATCTTGAGTACAGAACAGTGTACAGGTACACCTGCCAAGACCCTGATCTGGTCCAGATGCAACTCCTCCTCCCAAACAGACAGATGAACAGTGTTGGTAAAGCAGTAAAAATACTTTCCGAAAACATGGTTTCTTTTCAAAAGCCCTGACCTGGGTTATATGGCCCTGTTGTAAAAGGGGCATGAGAGAAAGATTAATAGGATAACCGGCAAAACACTGCAAGGAACAAGAGCCTGCAAGGACGTCCGAAGGGGAAACCTCCATCAGCCTGAACTTTCTGTAGTCAAGTTCATGACAGTCAACAAAATGTCTTTGAGATGTTTTTCCAAAGTCACCTTGGTATAGAGTATAAATGGTGTAGGTATATACTGCCTTGTATAGAACAGTATATATGATTAAACCTAAAAACATATGCAACCATAACAAATGATAAACCAAAACAATTATTTCTGTTAACCTGAATTTCCTATGCATCCTTATTCAGTAAAATAAAACTGTAAACTTAAAAATTTTAAATTAGAAGCTTCCTTAAAGATTATCTTGCGTAACACCTTTATAAACGGCTGCATTACAGCCCAGGGAAGCTATGCCCCATATGGCCCAACTTTAGAACCACGATTACAATCTCCTGTTACCTTCCTTCCCTGTGGCTTATCTCTTCTCCAAATATGCTAGTTCATGAAACAGAAGCTGACATTTATTAGCGGAATTAGATCACCACGCACTGGGCAAATGGAACCCATTTTCTCCAAATTTTAAGAATTTATTATTATTCTTCTCTCATTAGAGGAGCATCCCAGACAGAGCACAAGTCTTAGCTGGAAATGCCAGCAACCTGTTACACAGGCCTCTCTGAGCTGTGCCCACGTTAAAGGGAGTTATATTGTGGGCTTTCAATAGCCAATGTGATAGCTCCTTGACTAAGACACTTACTGAAATAAGGGCTCCAAACAGATCTCTAGGTCCATGGGTTTTTTCAAATTAATACAAATTTTAGATCACCCTTTGGGGATTTTAATATGAGAATTATCAATCTACTATTTTAGCTAATGACTGAAGGTATTCTACTTGAAGTAGTTGCCAAACCACTTCCAGCCTTTTTAGTAAAGAGAGGCTGTGTACTCTAGATCTGTGCATGGACAAGGTGACCTTGGTGATCTGTTTTATACCTCCTTCTCCATTTCGGGAATTAACTGTGACCTTTGAGTTGTTCCATTTCATTTGAAAATGGTAGGATTTGTGGTTAGTTTCATTGTCCCATTGGATTTAAGGTAAAAAGTTTGTGATGAGATAGGTTTCCCTGAATAACTATAAATCCTTCTTCAGCATATCAAGTGGCAGTCTGGGTTCTGAGAGACCGAGCGATTGATCATCCTGTAAATAGTCTCATAAATAAGAATTTCTGTTTGCATTTGTAAAAATGAAAACTCTTCACTCAAATGTGGAAAAATATTTAACTAGACAGTCAACAATAGGTTGTTTTTTTTTAATTTTTAGAAAACGTTTTAAAGATTTTTTTCCTTTACAGGAAGTACTAACACAGATGCCTCAAAGGGTAGAGATTCCTGAACTACAAGTACATCTGAGTTGTTGTTCATTATTAACATAGTCATCTTCATTTCCCTACAGGAAGCCTGTATTCGTGCATACTTTTAAAAGTGAATTTCATCAAGGAAATTCATGTTTCATATAGACAGCACCGTTGACCCTTTCCTAAGAGATATTCCAAGTATCCTTGGAAAACCACTTCATTATTTCTTAATTATTAAGGCTTTCTAAATCAAAGAGACAAGGTTAAGCAAAAAAGTTTTAAAATCTCTTTTGTATAATGGCAGCTCAGTCGTGCTTTCTGTCTACATATTCATTTAAAAGATGCATACCGCAGCAGGCTGATTTTAGGAGATCATGTCAAACCAGAAAATGAAGCAGCAAAACGATATTTCCAAACAAGACAATTTTTTCACTCAAAAATATTTCCCCCTAATATCACCAAATGTAGGATCAATCATGTATTCCCTATTGACAGAGTCCTACAGAAAACAGCTAAAAAGAAGGGAAGGTGGACTCCTGATTAGGTTTGAACCAGGACAGAAGATCCAGGGCCTTGAAGTATTCACAGAGCAGCTGATCATGAATGTTGAAATTATTTGTCTGAAGCAGTCCCTCCCTTAGGGGTAACCATTCATTTATTTCTCATGTGGTTGTTTTTTTTTTCTTGTAAATATTGCCATGAGCATGACTATAGTCTGCCCAAACAATACTTTGATGTAAATATTTGGTCAGTCCATCTATCTGGTGAGTCAGAGTGGTCATTTGATGCAGCTGACAAATTGTAATAACATGTCCAAATTGCCCAGTTAGAGCAATAGACCATGTATCTAGCCTCCAGGGCTTACTTTGTAAGAGTAACACCTTTTCTTCTGAAAACTGTGTTCTTAAAAGCTAGCATCTGCATGGAAGATGATTCCCTTCTCCCCCTCAACTAAAATGGTATTTTGTTTAAAATAAGACTCAAGATGGAAAAAAAAAAGATTTGTGTAACTGATGGTTTTCTTCCCGAGCAAATCAAACCCGTCCCTGTGTAAAGTTTTGTATGGGCCATGAAGGGGTCATACCGGTGATGTGCTGGAATTGGCTCACACTGACTCGTGACAGTGGGTCATTACATTTTCAGGAATTTCAGAAGTTAGCTGTTAAACACAGCCATCATTAAATATGAAATTATAAAACACAACTGAATAAATTCCATTGAAAACAAAGGTAATAGTCAAAGCTTCCACTCCCTATTTTACTACATTTTTCCATTTATCTCTGTTCTTGAGGTGGTTTATGTCCAATGTAGCTGCACAGCCAAAACCTTTATGTGATAGAATGCTACCACGCGTTCCCTAGCTCCTCAGGCAGTAACAGCACGTTGGTAGCTTGAAACTGACCTCAGTGGGAGTGTTTGCCCCACGGCATTATCCAAGTGCTTCCAGTCATGGTCTTTCTTTGCTGGATAGCCAGTTGGTACAGGTTCCCTGGCACACAGGTGAATGCCACCATCACTTTCTCTCTGGAAAATAAATAATTGGAAGCCATATAAAATTATTAAAATGATATTAAATTCAGTCATTCATCTTCAGGTGGCTGAAATTTTGTTTCAGTTTTTAACCTCCCTGGAGACTCTGATTAGACTATCTGGAACATTCGATGTTTGTATTTTATTCATAATTAAATTATTTAATCATAGAG